CTTTTAAAGTTCGCCGCGGGCGTTTTCTCCGCCTCCTGCGCTTTAGTTTGGCCGGCAGGGGACACCTTGAAGCCTTTTTGGTCCGTGCCTGAGTTGGCGGAGTTGGAGGGGGCCAGGCTGACCGACAGGCCGCTGCCGTAGGATTCCTGTATCCGCAGAGCCAGCGCTTTGCTGCACTTCTCCTCCGGGGGGCCGGAATCCTTCGGGGCTCCTCCCGAGGCAGCGACGCTGCTTTTGGCAATCTCGGTTGGCAGCTCCAGGTACTTGTCTGTGAGCGCGGGGCTGTGCAGGAGGGGAGGGACGGGCTCGGCGGCGCTCAGGCGTGGCCACGGCTCATCTTCCGAAAGCTGAGGGGGAAGGAAAATACACGGTTAGGCTTAAATATAATCACAGAATGGCTGGGCTTGGAAAGCACCTTAAAGATCATCTTGTACAACCCCTGCCAGGCTGCACCCACCAGACCAGGTTGCTCCAAGCCCCGTCCAACCTGGCCTGGAACACTTCCAGGAACGGGCACTGTCCTTTGGGGCTGCAGACAGTGTGACAGAACTCCTCTAAGCCTCATCAGAGGCAGAGCAGCATTTTCCACCCTGCAGACATGACCTCCCTCCTTCAGGCACTGCCACAGGGCCCTGTCCTGCCCCCAGGAGATCCATCCACCATCAGGGGGCCAAACAGCAGCAACTGAGTCCTCAGTTACTGCATAACCAGGTTAACAGAGATGGACCAACTCCTCACCAGTGTCCTCACTGCCCACAGAAAGATAGGGAGTCAGAGCTATTCTAAAAATGGCTTTATTGCCTCTGGTTTCCTCCAGCTCCATCCCTGCCAGCACTCCCAGCCACTCCCCAGGAAGCACAGTCTCTGTGTGTTGGGCAGGAGCTGTTTAATGATGTCCTGAGAACCAGGGACTTCCCAAATTCTGACCCTCCCTTCAGCTCCTCATCTCTTCTGCAGCCTCATTCCCAGTCCTACCGACAGGAAAATGGGGACAACACTTGCTCTCCCCATCCACAGGGAGATTATAAAAATTAGTGTTTATGCAGTGCCCTGAAGATATGAATTATGACCTTATTAAAGATTTAATTGTGAAGAAATCCCTGGTTACTCAGAGAGTCCTTCAAAAGTAAATTTCAAGGCCACGTTACTCCACACACCATCAGTGAGAGGCAGATGACAGTTCTTATTTTAAGAAAATAATGTGCTGAAAACTCCAGTGCTCACACAGCTCCATCAGTCAGAGCAACACCTCAGGTGAACAAACAGATGCTTTTTGAGTCCCAGCCCAGAAGAACTCCAGTTCTCCTTCAAGGTGAGTTCCAGGGCTGCTCAGCACTTGGCAAAAATCTGATCCTGAAGTTTATAAAATGCCCTCCAAAAGAGAGGATAATCAGAATTGTTTCCAGCATCCACACCAGGTTTCCACTCCTCTGCTGCTCCCCACGTGTAAATAAAACCATCTGGGTAAGATTCTTTTGCTACATTTACCAACAGGAGAGGGAAGACCTTTATGGATGGTGTTCCAAAGGTTATTCCTCAGCTCAGCTCCTGCAGGATCCATGAGGAAGCTGATCACACACACACACACAGAGCAGCTCTGGCAATGCTGCTGCAGCTCCTCAGCCAAATTTCTGACATTGTGTCTCTAACAACTTGGTTTGATGATTTTATTGTGCAAGACATTTAACTTATCTCCAACATCTCCTGCCTGCTGCAAACAGCTGAGCCTGGAGAAGGCTCAGGAAGCCAAGGGAAGGCAGAGGATGGACTGTGGAGAGGGATGTGACCAAACAGGAAAAATAAACCATGAATCACCATTTAATGTCTCAACAATCCAATCAATCTTTATCACTGGCCCCAGGAATACTGGAATTAATTTGGTATTAGTAATTGCTGCCAGAAGGATAAGCAATTAAGAAATACTTCTGTTTAATTGAGAAACTTTGGTCTCCATCTATTCCCAGATTAATTGTTTTGGCAGGTAGCAGCTGTCAAGAGTCAAGACCATCCCTGCTTCCCTCACAGAAACTAGGATGATCCCTCTGCAGTAAAATTCAACAGTATTAATTAATTCCCAACCTAAATTAGACCATACATTTACCTGCAGCTTTATGTACCAAAGTATTTCTGTTTTGTTCTGCAAATGGATGCTGTTCTCTATGGCCAGATTTGCTGGGACCAACCAAATGGGGCTCTTCCTCCTGTGATGTTGCCCACACCACTGGGATCCCAAAGGATCATGGAATAAAGGCCTTTCCCGAATCCCTCACCACCTGCTTCCACTTCTGCAGATCCTCAGTTCACTGAATCTTAGATGGAGAGGGGGAATAAAAAAAAAATACAGACTGTCCCTAAGCCCTCATCCAGAACTGCTGGTTGCTGGATATTCTGCAGCCAGCACAGCTCAGTGATTCCTGCTAACAGTTCACACACAGACCAGATGGCACCATTTAAAATTTTAGGAGTGCTCAGAATTCAAATATTTTTCCCCTCAAGATTTTGCTGGGGTTTGAGCTCTTGTCATGGCTCTCCATGGATGGAAGGGGAGGAGACAAAGGTGGAGTTTGCTGTTTTATGAGCAGCTTCTTTCTCCCAAGGGAACGTTCCCAACTCCCTCTCTAATTTCTGCTTTCTTTTCCTTTGCCCAAAGGACAGTTATCTACAGACACTGCAGAACATCAAAGGACAGTGACTGAAATCAGGAGCAGCTGGGAATTACTGAAGCAAACATCCACTCACAGCTACACTGCACTTCTTACAGGGGCAAAGAAAAGGCCACAAAACAGAACAAAATAACCTTCTGAAGGGCTCTGCTTTATGTTGATGGTTAAAACTTCCAGCCTCAAGAAAGACCTTCTGTTACAATGTCTCTTCCTCCAACAAAGAACATTAAATCAACCACAGGAAGATAATGAGATCTCCCAATGCAGAGAGAAATGTTCTTTATATCAACATGTGCTGGTATAAATTAACCCATGGGTTACCTTAGAGGAGAAAATAAAAACCCACAGCCAAACAATCCCAAACCAAGCCCCACAAGGTCAGAACACCCCCACAAGCACCACTCTGCAGTTCCCCAGCTGTGCTGCACCAGGACATGGCAAGGCAGAAGGGAAACTGCAGCCCAACCTTATTCTCCAAGGGGATGTGTTGGGTTTTTTCCTTTTTTAAACCTCTGATCCCCAGTCTGATTTCTTCCTAACAGGCTCCTTTGGATTTTGGGGTGAATCTTGGAAAAAACTTACCCCTAAGAGTGCATTTCAAGCTGTGTGAACCACGTGCATAAAGTTACACTAATAATTTCTTCCACACTGAGGGATCACAGATCCAAAACTACTAACAAACCACCAGCAGCAATTCTGAGAGGTTCCTACATTAATACTCTGCCTCTGGTGCTCCAAAGTCTTTTAAGAAACAATAATAAAAGCTGGCCCACTTCTCCAAAGCCTTGCACGTGGAAGTACTGAGGAGGTGGCACAGAACAAGTCACAACTGAAACACATTATCTAGACACACACGGTGCCTGGCCCAGGGTTAAAAACACATTGAAGACATCAAAAGGCAACGTTAAACAGTGATTTAAATTGAGAGGTCAGTAGTTTCTAAGACTATTACTAAATCCCTGGCAATGGTCTGACTCCACCATGCCCCAGGAAGCTGTCTAAGGGGAAATTCCTCCCAGGGGGAGCACTGCAATGCCAGGCTCTGAGTCCCTTCTGGGACCCAGACTATTTTTGTTCTGAATTAAAACCCAAACATTTACACAACTCTTTAACAATCTTCTTTAAAGACTTTACACACTGGGAATATTCCTTGCAGTGTTTGGTTAGCATATTTCTTTTCCAAAGCATTAAAAAAAATGTTACTAACGTGGTTCCTTCTGCATCTTCCAGAAAAGTCATACCTGTTTCTCAGTGCTGGCTCAAACCTGAATAATATACAGAGCTCCACATTAAAATACTGCATCTTCCAAAATGAAAGAGATGTTTGAAATCAGATCCTGAAGGAGCAGGACTCTAATTTAGCTGCCTATGAGAATACATCAAACTGTGCAGTCTCTCTCACGTGCTCAGGGCTAACTTTTCAAACACAACAAAAAACCCCCTCGTAGCTCAGCTGCTGCCGAGGATTCCGTGGCACCTTTACCTTGACAGGGGGGGTGCAGCAGCGGGAGGGGCTCGTGCTGTTGGTGTCAGGGCTGCTGTAGCAGGGCCCCTCGGCCAGGTTGAGGTACAGCTCCTCCTCGTGCTCCCAGGGGCTCTGGCTGGCGCGAGGGGGGTGGATGCAGATCACGATGGCGCTCGTGTTGTCCGCCCGCAGCATCCGCTGCCTCCAGCGGCCCAGGGCGCGGCTCACCAGCATCTTGGCACACGACTGCCGGTGCTCTCCCTGCTGGGGACACGGGGGGACACGTCAGGGACACCTCAGGGCCACTGGGAGGTGGCACAGGGGCAGCACAGCTGGAGGTTTGTGCTCCTGGGAGGCACGGGCTGAAGGAGCTCCAGCCGGAAACACGGGAGGAAACACTCGTGGAAACCTCTTCCTTCCACCTCTTCCTTCCACGTACATACAAGTGCTCTAAACCAGAACACTGCACCAACAGCCTGCCTGTGGCACAACCTACAGCCCTCCCAAAGCCTCTCCAGGGTTTACAGAGCATTTACTGTCTGATGCTCCACTACAGGAATTCACAGAATCCCAGAATGTGCCGAGCTGGGAGGGACCCACAGGGATCAGGGAGTCCAACCCTCAGCCCTGCACAGGTCACACCCTGTGCCTGAGGGTATTGTCCAACTGCTTCTGGAGACTGTGACCACTGCCCTCATCTTAACTGCTTTGTAAAATAAACCAGAAAATAATTTAATTCAGTCTAAGCAACTGTCTGCATTGTGACACGAGCCCTGACGTGAGACAAATTTGATTTTCGGACAGCATTTTGTATAACCTCCTTAGAGAAGGAACACCATGTCCTTTATTACTGAGAGATACCATTCTAGTGGTCACATTTCCCCAAAATGACAACCAAATAATAATAATAATAAACTCAACAATGTTATTTGACATCAGCCTCTACAACTAAGCTGTTCTAACAACTTTATGCTGTGGCAAAACTGAATATGCCCAAATAACAACCCCTTTGTTGGACACTTCATTGCTCAGTCTGAGCGATTTTTAGAGGTAAAAAGTATTAAATTTCCACTGCTCTCACCACGAAGTACTTCTTCTCCTCGTGATCCTGGCACATGGAGATGGCATCCTGGGGTGGGATCATGTTCCAGAGCCCGTCACTGCCCAGGATGATGTATCTGTGTTTCTGGGGGTCGATGGTGTGAACGCTCGTGTCGGGCTCAGGGGACACCACAAACTCCCCACTGTAGAAGTCGTAGCTCCAGAGGTCACCTGGCAAAGCAGAAAATGGGTTGGAGTGGTTACATTCCACGTGAGAAATCTCCAGCTTGGAAAATACAGATCAGGGTTCCCGGGAAAACCGTCGGCACCAGGCTGGAGTCACCAGCAACACGAAGGAATTCCAGCACAGCTGCTGTTCTGCTGCTCTCACCTTCCAATCATATTTAATGCAACAAACTAAGCCACATTCAAACCTATGTTTATAGGAGATCTACTCTCTTCAAACTAGTTTTTGGGGCAAGGGGAAATATCAGAGATTAACACCTCGAAAATGGTGAAACCTCAATCGCTGCCCAAAGTAAAACCCACCTGGATTTATAAAGTCCTCCTCAAACAGAAGTAAGGCCTTACTTTGCTGATCCCACACCAAACCTGCAAATATTCCTGTGGGCAGGTGCCACAGGGAGGGGACAAAGGCAGAGGGGAAGGGAGGAGACTGAGCTTTCCCCTGCTCCATCCTCTTCCCCGGCCCTCTTCCCTCTGCATCCCTTGCAGGGCTGTTGGAGCCTCCTTCCAGCTGAACACCCTGTGCCAAACTTCAGAGCTGGAGAGCAGCCACAGGAACACGAGGAGTGCTGAGTTCCAGCAGGGAATGAGAGCTGCAGCCTCTCCCCAGGATGGCCTCAGCCAGGGAACCTTTCTATTTTTACCCCTCCCTCACCGTGTGAATGAGTTGGGGGTCACCTTGGCAGCAACACATCCAAACATCCCCTGCATCCAGTGCTCCCTCCAAACCCTCCTCAGGTAAAACCCCCCTCCATCAGAAAATTCCATTTCCATATCAAATTATTTCAATTTCATTTACCAAGTATATTTGAAAAAATTAAAATCCTTCATTTAAATCAAGAAATAATTTGTGCTGGCACCTTCTCTTTCATTTCCATGTTCACAAACAACTTCCCATAGCAAAAAGCAACAAAAAGTAACATTACTAATTGCAAGCACTGGCTAAGCTTTTCTGAGCAGGACACACAGCTTTAAAAGCAGAAATTAATTAAAATGTCAGAGGTGAGCAGCAAAGAGAAGCTCAACAACTCCAGCTCAAGAGCAAAGGTTTGTCGGGCTCTTGGCTTTTTGCTGCCCTCACAAAGCCTGGAGCTTCTTCCACATCCATCACCACCCTTTTAAAGATAATAAATAAGCTTTTTGTCTTCCTACTTCCCTCCATTAGCTTTGCCTCAAGCTATCAACCAGCTGAAAAGCCTCTTCCAGGATGAGGGAAGGGAATACTTGGGCTCAATTAGTGCTCTCCAGTAGCAAGGAGGGCTGCTCCACCCTCATTAAAGCCCCAATTCTCCTCCCCGACAAGCACACGCTGCTAATGAGCCTTAATTAACAGCCAAGGCTGCTCGTCCAGAGGTGCACAGACCCACCCTTGGAGTCCTGGCAGCATCCATTTCCAACGTGCTTAATATTTTTCTGCTGCTCTTTGCTTCTTTGTTCACACTCACGTAGGAGAAATGACAACTGTCATTCACTGAATCGTTGTTTTAATTAAAATCCTGGGCTGGCTGATAAAAATAACCTGCTGCTGTTTCAGTTGGGTTCAGGGATGAACATGTCATCGTGTCCATCTGCTACTCTTCCTGAGCAAACTGCCAAGTAATCACCACACTGATTTCAGGGGATCTTCTCCAAGAGGAAGAAGGCTCCTCACAGGGATAACTGGGAATATCACAGTGGTTATAAAGAGGAAATACACAATAATTTATTCCCAAAGCCGTAGGATGGAAAAGCATTAAAGCCCAATCAGGAATTAACTGACCAACCAGACCAGTCAGGAGCTACTGGAAGCTCAGAAGAGCCCCAGGATTCACAAACTGAAAGAAAATAAAGCTTTTGGTCCTTAACCCAGCAAAAATTCCACAAGGAATACTTGAAGCCTGAGGCATACAGTGAAATTCTGCCTTCCTCAGCCTAGGAGGAAACAACCAGTACTTGTGACTGCCCTGAAGAACAGGGAGAACTGACTCTGGTGTTCATTTCTCAGCAGGCAGCTCCACGGACCTGCAGAATTCCTGGCAGGAGGAGCTGCCTCGGGATGCTCTGCTCGGGGAGGGGCTCTCAGACCCCCCAGAGGCTGATCCCTGTCACAGGGCAGGGACAGTGATTTGGGATTTATTTTCAGCACAGGCTGAGCCAGAGCTCTGTGGAGCTGCTGCCCAGATGGAATGCTGTCATTCCAATGTCAGCTGTGTGCCCTCCCTGCCCGGCTGGAGACTCGGGAATCACAAACCTGGAGAGCTCAGGAATCACAAACCTGCCGAGTCCCTCCCGGGGCAGCCTCTGCCCCAGCCCTGAGGAGGAGAGAGGGCCAGGGAGGCCAGGCAGGAGGCACAGCACACTCTTCCCTGAGCATTTCAAAGGGCTCTGAAATGTTTAATTCTGTTCCAAAGCAAGCAGAAGGACAGTGACCCTCTGGCAGGCTGGGAAGGAGGGATCCCGTGACACTGGGATGTGCCAAAGGCTCCTGTTACAGCACTGCAATGCCAGGCTCTGAGTCCCTTCTGGGAGCCAGACTATTTTTGTTCTGAATTAAAACCCAAACATTTACACAACTCTTTAACAATCTCCTTCTTTAAAGACTTTACACACTGGGAATATTCCTTGCAGTGTTTGGTTTGCATATTTCTTTTCCAAAGCATTAAAAAATTGTTACTAACGTGGTTCCTTCTGCATCTTCCAGAAAAGTCATACCTGTTTTTTCAGTGCTGGCTCAAACCTGAATAATATAGAGAGCTCCACATTAAAATACTGCATCTTCCAAAATGAAAGAGATGTTTGAAATCAGATTCTGAAGGAGCAGGACTCTAATTTAGCTGCCTATGAGAATATATCAAACTGTGCAGTCTCTCTTACGTGCTCAGTGCTAACTTTTAAAATACAACAAAAAACCCACTTTTAGCTCAGCTGCTGCCAGGGAGGCAACTGAAGCTCCAAACAAAAACACCCATCACGTAAGTGGGCTGGACTGGATTAAACCCAAAGCCTTCTTAGAGCAAAGCATGTCCAGAAGTCACATAAATCAAGCCTTTCATTCCTGTTTCAGGAGATGCTGCTTTGCATACAAAATAGAAAAACAGCTTTTGGTTTTAATAGAGGAAAGAGACGTTGATTTTTATAAGTGGGTCCAAACCAAAAACCTGCTTTGATTAATCCCAGAGCTTTCCAAAGCCCACTTTTATCTGACAGGGCTGTTGCTACAAAGGGAAGACTTGCAGAACTTCCTTTTTTTCCCAGTGCCAGTGAAGCAGAGCTGGGGGAAGTGAGACAAATCCCTGCAAGGATGAGGACAGGAACCACTGGAAACCAGTGAGATAGGAGGGGGATTTTCACTGCACCCCTGGCAAGCCAGGCCTGGAGCCACAAGGGGAGGAATGGAAGCAGTGTCCCATCCTGATTTCCAATCAGGAATGATTAAGGAGAGCTCAGGCTGAGAGATGGGGACAAAACTGCAGGGACAGCAAGCAGAGAAGTGACACAGAAGCACCTGAGGCTTTAAAACTTTCTGCACTCCTTGAGCAGTGTGTTTTTAGGGACTTGTTTTATTTACACACTTTTTCAGTCTAACCTGTAGAAAGGATGCCACCCTCAACAGAAAAGCAAAGCACAGCTAAGAGAACAGTATTTCAACAGCAAATTACACAAATAATTGCATTTGAAATGAGTGGTGAATCAAAAGCTGCTCCTAAAGCACTGTTCACCCCTGGAAGTGCTCAAGAACAAGTTGGACAGGGCTTGGAGCAACCTGGGCTAGTGGGAAGTGTCCCTGCCCGTGGCAGGGGGCTGGAATGAGAAAACCTGCAAGAACTCCTTGCAAAAGCAGAGGCAAAGAGCTCAAATGACCTGCAGGAAGCTACTCCCAGTGGCTGGCCTTGAATTAAATCCTTCAAATGAACACCAGGGTGGAATTTGAGGCTTCAACAGCCAATCCTGGGCAGCATCTGCTCAGCTGGAGAAGGGGCAAACCCCAAGAATGCACTGTCCAAACCTCGCTGAAGTTCTGCTTTTGGGAGAAGGGTTTGGGATTGTTTTTCTACATTGCCAAAGGAGAGGTAGATTCCAATAAAATAATGGTTAAATGCATGTAAAAAACCTAGACCATCATACAGGAGTCTACTGAGATCATCTGAGGTCAGCAACACCCTCTTCCCCGGGGTTCCATGGAATGTGCATTCAGGGAGCTTCACAAAACTCTGGCATCCAGGAAGTTGCTCTGAAACAGCTTCCCTGTCCCTGTCAGAGCCAACATTCCTGCAGCTATCCAGGGATTCCCTGTGCTAGCACACAACTCCTTTTAGGGGGCAGCAGGGAATTCCTGCTCTTAGGAAAAGTCCAACCTGCATGGCAGAGGCTGCCCTACCTGAAATACAGGGCTGAGTCTATTATAGTTCCATATAAAAATCCAGGGAAAGGACAGCTTGTGTTCCCATGTGACTGGGGGGTTTAACTAAGGGGTTCTTGGCTCAGCTTTCATCATTCATTAATTTAAACAACCCCCAAACAGCTCCAATACTTCAGGGCAATCCCTCCCCACAGAACCCACTCACAGCTGCAGGTCTTGGCTCCACATCAGTTCCCAAGGAAAAGGGGAGGGGAACAGGGGAAAAAAAGTCCATAAAATATTTACCAGATTTAGAGCTGAGCTAATTTACCAACAAGAGAGATCCCACATAAATCAAAAAGCCCTTTAAAAGCCCCATTTCTGCCACCACACTGTTAGCAGTGAACTCACCCATGCTGGGGGATATGAACTTAAACAGCAGCTTAGGAAAACCACAACAACTTTAAGCTGCACTTGTAGGAACCCCCAAAGCCCAGCCATTAATCACCCTGCCTGTCTGCTCCTTCCTACACTTGCTTCTTGTTTCAAGTGATACCAAGTGTAGCTTCTCTCTCTATGTCCCCTGCTTAGTGCAGCACCTTCCAAAATTACACACAGAGCCAGATTTCCAATTCTGGGACTCCCTGGGATTCATATTTATTAGGAGGTAAATTGATATAAAAAGAGGTGTTTTTATTGCCCAGAAAAGGTCAGCAGAAATAGCTGTGAAAATGCAGAATACTCTTAAAATATTCCATTAGAAGGCACAGAAACCTGCTGGATTCAGCAAAAGCAGCTTAAAGATACTTCACAGGGACAGGAGGAAGCCCAAATATTTCTGCCTTGTTCTGGGGCTATAAATAAATTAAACATTATTTAAATACTTAAATACAGAATTAAGCATTCCACAAATGCTTATTTTAGGGCAGAAGGGCACTTGTGACAATCAGAACAGGAAAGGGGATGTCAACAGAGCTCACAAGGTTTCTCTTGGGCCAGGATTCTTTCTGTGCCACGAGTTGAAGATGCCAAAGACTCTTCCAAGGATTTACTCCAACTCCCCAGTCGGTTTTACTAACCACAAAATAAACTCTATCCTACCTAAAATATGGCCCATAAAGACTTGAAGCTACTGAGAAAACGTCCATACAATTAAAATTTTATAAGAGCACCATTCCACCACTTTGATACAGATCTGGCTTTTAAATGTTCACTGCAGAGTTCTCCTTAAGCCTGGACAGATCCCTGTGTTTTAAGGGAAAAAAATAACCAGCAGACACCAACACTCATGGGTAAGAGGCATCCAGTGATTCAGTTATGAAGCACTTCCCAAAAACTATTTGTCACTAGTTTTCCAGTACTGCAATATGCCTTTTTGTCCTTGGAATAAAGTGTTTCTCAAAGACAGTTTCCCATTATTAGTGCTCCCACAAAGGCAAGTTAACAGATAAAACACAGACTTGACTTTCATCCCATTCTATGCTAAGTCTTAAAGAAAAAAGACTCACCACAAAGGACAGGCTGAATTCACCTGCAATCCAGCAACACTTAAGTTTTACCAACCAGTCAAAAATTCCAGTCCTGTTATCTCAGTAAGAAAAAGACCAAGGTGCTCTCCACCCTGGAGACAATGTGCTGCTTATACATTTTCATTTGCACCAGAAATTAAGTCCCATCCTTGTAAGGCTGACACTTGAAAACCCTGAAAGTTTTAAGGCGGGTTCTTCTCTCGCCGACGCCGCCTTTTACAGATTTCAAAAAAATAAATCCAGGTGGTATTAAAAATATATTTTAAAGGCCCAGGCTTGCAAAAAAGCAAGTGCTTGAATCCCTCGAGCTCCATGTTTGCCCCCAGCACAGCACTCACCCAGGGCTCTGGCCACGGCCAGGAAGGGGATCTGGTCGATGACGGTGCTGCGGCGAACGGGGCCGTTGTGGCTCAGCCGGGGCCTCTTCCACACCACACGGTTCACTCCGGACTTGTTGATCACGCTGGAAGCACCAGAGACAGGCAGAGGTCACACAGGAACAAAGGAGACAAAGCCAGTTAAATATGCAAATCCGGAGGCGATAATGACAACGCCCTCGGGGCAGTCCAGGGCACAATGCAGTGTTTCAAAACACACCGTGCCCCTTGGAGAGCTTCACTCCTTATTCAGCCAAAGGGAAAAGTGAGAGGGGAAGGGCAGAAGAAAATAAAAAAGCAGGGGAATGAAGAATTGGAAGAAACTCTTTGTCAGAGAAAGAACAGAACTGAATTTGCCCCCCTCATCCGAGGACCATCAACACCAGCTCGCTCAGGTGGATTTAGCACTGAGCTCCTCCTGCAGCTTTCTCCATCTCCCAGAGTCTGGCAGCAAAGAGCAACACAGTACAGTGGAAACAAGAGAAGAGAAAGGAGCAGCCTGCTGTAGGGATTCCCTTGCAGACACAAAAGGGGAATTGTTGCCAGTTGCTGTCTGCTGGAAGCAGGAGATGGGAGGAAACAGCTCTGTATTTGCATGTGAGCACCTGCTCTGAGGCACTGAGCTGGTTTGGCTCCCACAGATGGCACTGAGGGGGCAGAGAAGCTGCACAGCAAATAACTGGGGCAGCTGCATCAGGCAGGGAAGAAAGAACAGTGTATGAACAGCCAAGGAATAAGAGCTAATGAAACCAGGAGCTAGCAAAGCTTGGTCCCAGACAAGTTAAGAACTGGATACTTGGAAGTTCCTTTCATCCAAGGAACAGCCACTGGTAATTAGGAACTGAGCAGCTCTGGAACAGCCTCAAGATTCCTCATACTGAAGCCATTCAAGATGCACTTCCTGAGACTTCAAAGGCCTTAACAACAAGGGCATGTTGAGCTCCATCCACAGCACTGCAAAGTCACAAACACCACATCCTAAAAACTGATCTCATCCACTTGTCCAACTAATGACCACACAAAGCTCACTTCAGGCATTAGCTGAAAGAAAACCTCATCCCACGCTCAGACTGTTACTAGGAAAAATCTCATTTTAATGGAAGATTCAATTATGCTCTGCCCTTAACTGTTCCCAGTTTGCTCTCATGAAAGAGAGGACATTACCAGGCACAGCTGCACAGTTCCACCCCACTCCTACCATTTGCCTCACAGCCAGCCTGGGAAAAACAGGAGGAGCACCAGTAGAAATAAAAGAATAAAAAAAAAAACAAAAAAAAAAACCAAAACAACCTAAAACCAAATTAAGCATTCCTGTAGACACAAAGCTTCAGGGAATGCTGCTTTGAAGCTTCAGTCTCTGAGATGCACAACTTGGAAACGTGCACAGGGACTAACCCAGGGGAACTGCAGGTTCCCCCTTCTGCAGAGCCACCTGATGGAGTCCCAGCTGCCAGAGACACAAATGTCTGCAGGTTAACGGGCTGACAGGGCTCTCACATGAGTGATGGCAACAGGAAAGCCTTTGCAGAGCCCTGCTCTGGGAAGGAAGCCGTGCCCACCCATCTGCCACAGCACCAGGGGAGCACTGAGCTCCCTGAGCTCCCGGGAAACTCCACCAAACACCAGCCCTGAGGTTGGTGCCCAAACATTTGTGCCACCTGATAGCCCTGCCTGCTTCCCCCTCACCCACAGGGAACACACACCCACCCCAGCTTGGGCATTCCAGCCTCTGCCAGCTCCTGACAGGGAAGAAACAACTCCTGCCCAGACACGGCGTTCTGATCCTTACAGGGGGTGTTTAAACACAGCAAATCCAAACAGGACTTGGTTTCAAATCTAACCTTTATTTTTTTTCTTTATGTTCCCTAAGCAGAAGCTTTGAGGAGCCCACTCAACAGCTGCCATTGTCATCTCAGGAACAATGCAGAACACCTGAGAAATCACAGTGGTTTGTGTCAAAATTTGACAAACCCAGTATTCCAGACCTCAGATCATTTTACTTATATGCAAAGGTAATTTTCTCTATGTGCAAAGATAATTTTCCCTATCTGCAAAGATAATTTTCTCTAGGTGCAAAGATAATTTTCCCAACCCCCAGATTCCTTGGAATTTAACAAAAAATAGGTCAAATATCACCATCTCCACTTTCAAAGTGCTGGGTGAACACGTAGAACTGTAAGCACACCTCAGCTGGGCTTTTTAAAATTCTGTATATGCCATAAACCACCAGCAAAAAAAAAACCAACCATGTAACAATGGATCACTGTAACATATTCCCCAACAAGCTATAAAAAACAGAGGATAATAGAAATACACTGTGAGATTCAGCTTCTTGCATGACCCTCTCGGAACAAGCTTAGCTCAGTCAGAGCAGACACACTCACCTGCCCCCAAGGCCTTCGATTCTCTCCCTCTCTTTGGGCAGCTCTGGCTTGTGGTCCTGTGTGACCTCCACAGCTCTCACAAAGTCGTCCTTGGGGTCATCCTGGACCCCCAGCACCACCCCTGAGTCCCCCACGTGGGCCACGTACATCTTGGAGCCCCGGATGATCACCACGCTCGCCGTCGTCCCCGACGTGCTGGGCAGGCCCGTCATGGTCTTGGGCCACTCTGCTGCAGGGACAGAAAAGGCCAAGGAAAGGCATGATTTTAACTCTCTGGAGCTGGGAACGTCCTGAAGGTCAGGATGGAGGGTGTGCCAGAGGCTTGTCTGATGTTACAACAGGGCCTGGGCTGAACCACAGCACAGCCAGGGCGAGCAGTGCCCCCGGGGCACCCCCACTCTCCTCACAGCAGTTTGAGCTAGAGCTTGAATTGACACAAACATGGAGATAAAGCCACTACCAAAGCACCAGAATAGGATTCAAAAAACTACCTCCTCTGGCTTAATATTCCAAGCACCACTAGAAGAACCCAGGGGAAGATGTGCTCCTCAAACAGGATCCAGAGTGTTTCATTAAGGCCTACTGTTCATTTCCCTGTCTGAAGTAGAAGAAATGTCACCAATTCTATTATTTTGTCTGGATACTGGACTGGCAATCAGGATTTCTGGATGTTCCTGATCCCCTTGGAAGGAAGGAAAGTGTTCTTTTATTTTTATAGCTGAATAACAACATTTAGGCTGAGCAACATCTCAACTGTTTTACCCACATTTCCTTTGAGAGGACTGATGCAGACTGGTTAGAGATGCTCTCCTTAACACAACATCCAACTTCTACAGGAGATACCCCTTGAAACCAGAGCAACAACATCCCTACACTGCTGTCAGCTACACATGGTTAAGGAAATCTCCTTCTTTCTCAACTGCTTTGCCCTCAAACCACTGATATTAACTTCCTATTACGCTGCTCTCCCCATCTATGTCCAACCCAAATTTCCCTTTCATGCCTTTTCTATTTTCACATCTACTTCCAAACCTCCACAGAGACATCCCCCTTCAGACAGCTCAGCCAAAGCACCTCCTCCCCGCTCCAGCACCCTCCGAAATCCCAACTCCAATTCCCAGTTATCAGTTGACTTCAACTGTCAACAGCAACCTCCTGTTTCCTCTTCACTGCACCCACTCACGTCTCCAGACAAACTCCACGGGGAGACTCATCTCCCTGTCACATTCCATCTCCTGCACTTCACAAGTCAGGCTCACAAGGCAGGAATTCCACCCTGACACAAGCTGTCTGCAGGGAATACCCCAGCCAGGCTGCTCTTCTCTTTGCTGGGACACAACAAACACACCAGAAACAAACAGAGGAGAAAAGAAGAATTCAACACAATTACTCCTTCCCCTCTGCGAAGATACAGATTTTTAAACTTCCACGGCTTTTAAGCGGAACCAAAAAATGAGGAATTTAAGTTCTGGTGTTCAGATGCCTGAGGGAAAAGTGCTGAAGGAGAAGCACAATTTATAGGCAGGATGAAGGTAAAAGCTGCATCCCCTCGGAATGAGCTACCAAGGCATCCAGCACAATTTAAACATTTGAGCTCTAACAGCGTTCTAGCTTTGTGTTCTAAATACTAAACCACACTTTCTCCCTCGGAGTAGCTTTATTTCAGGAACACAAACATTCAATCAGCTTATTGGAAGCACTTTGTCTGGCAATTTTAACTGTGGATATTAAATGTAACACATTCCAAATGGGAGGAAACGAGGGAGGGAGCCAAGTGGTAATGAGGACTTCAACCGTGCACTTAACAGAAAACAAGCTGCGACTAATGAGTTTCTGTCAGTGGAACAACCCCTCAACAGCAATAAAACCTATCAGAGAGTCAAATCAGTCTTTATGGGGACGAGGAGACAGAGAGGGAAATCACCCACTTGTGAGAAAAAGACTGATAGAGCAGCCTCAGATTTTAGGCTCGACAGAAGCAGATCTGATCTGCTGCTCAGCAGGGACTGCACTTCGTGCCTTGCTCCTGTGCAGACACAACTATTAGACCCAGCACAGCTCTCTTAGGACATTTAGAAATCAGCAGAAGCAGCAAAACCATTGAGTTTTCTCCTGAGCTCAAGTATTAGAATTGAAGCCACTCGCCCCCCTCCTCCAGGTACCAGGAGTGTGTCTTCAGCAATCCTGTCACCTGAGCAAGAACATCTTCCTACAACAACTTTCCCCTCTACTTGAAAACCACTACCCTTCACTCAGCCTTGTAACTTTGAGCCCATAAACTCATAAACTGGATTTGTAGCTTCCAATGTGAACCTTTACTCCAGAAGCTCTTCAGTACAAATTTTTATTACTATAGAATTAACGCCCAAAATTATCAGCAATGCCAAAGGGGTATTTTTCTCTTTTAATTTTTCTGGTACTCTCACAGTCAGTGTGTTTTGTGTCCACCCCAGGAGATGCAGAGGGTGATCCCAGAGCTTCCAACAACCAACAGAGCAGCTGAGTGTGGGCTTCTCTTCCAACTGGAAGCAGTAAAGCCTCCATCCCCCACACCACAATTCCAAACTGTTCTTTGACTTTCCAAGATACCAAAATACCCAGTTCTCCATTTCATGCCCACAGTGTCACCTCCACAACTGCAGCCCGAATCATTAAGGCCAAACATACTCTGGAGTTTACAAAACACCTCGAACTGTCATCAAACACTCACAGCCAGAGCGATGTTGTTTCTCCCAACAATTTAAATTGCTTCCACAGCCCCGGTGGTAATTGCTAAACACTCCTTACTAGAACAAGGCTGGCTGCACTCTGCCACTTCACCTCCCTGCCTTTGGTCCCAGTGACAAATAGCACACCAGGGATACCACAAGCAGAAAACTAAACTCCTTATCTTCCCCCCCATGCCACCTTCTCCTGCTCACACATCTTATCACCCAGCTCTGCAGCCCAGGAGGGCACCCACCCCAACATCAGGGCTGGGGGCAAGTTCTGCTGCTCCTAAACCTCACACACCCTTTCCTCTCCACACAGAGTGCCCTCGACCCTGCTACTCCTTCCCCTGCATTTCTCAAGCATCTGACATTTGCACAACTTCTCCATTTTGCTGTTCAAGAAAAAGGAAAACGAAACTGTTTTGACGTTATAATCCCCCCCACCCCTTGAATCACTCCACTGAAATCCCCCGGGGGTGCTCAGAGTGCAGTTCTTGCTTTTCAGGTTTCCCTCCCGAGCCCAACTGTCATTATGTCACGGTGTTTTGGATCCGATTTTCCCGTGTTCCACACCCTTCTGTCTTCATTTGCTGGATGCTGCCTGTTGTATTTTTTTCTTCCTGAGGCTTTTGAACACATAAATCCACACACGGTACACACACACTCTACACATCCTATATAAACAATAACCATACTCTAAACCATAACCTTCACCTTACCCAGAGAAAAAAATACCTTTCAAAAACTCAATTCTTCAGTCTCACTAGACGCAGGGAGAAGGAATAGCACAGGAATGATGACTGTCACCTGTCTGGGCACTCTCTTTCCTTTACCCTTCCCTATTTAGGACCCCTGCAATTAAGCAAACAATATACAGAATATTCAGGATACCGAGCGTGTTCTCTATTTTGGCAGGGACCCTGCGTAACCCCCGATGCTCACACAACAACACGAGTACCCGTTATACGCCAGCCACATTTCAATCCTTCCATCAGGACTCACAAAAACAACTGGAAGCACACTTAAGGAAAAAACGCCTTCCCAGCCCGGTTTGTTAAAATTATCTTTTTTTAAATGATCCCAGGGAAATCTAAGCGGGAGTCCCGCGCGGTTCCCCAGGGCAACAAGGCGAAGACCTCCAAATAAATCCGGTTTGGAGATGCGACCTGTAACACGCCGAAAACAAACCGCAGCTCTCCCATCACACCATTCCCAGCTACACAACAGCGCGTCCTCACCACCCTGTGTTTACATCTTTTCTCTCGCAGCCCGCGCTCCAGTTTTTCTCGTTCCACCGAACCACTCGAGCCGAGACCTCGAATCCCACCCCGCGTTCTCTCCATGCCCGGCACAGGGCCGGCAGAGACGGAGGGGCAGCGATGGAGGGGGAACTCACAATAGTGCGGGGGAAGGAAAAGGCGGCTAAACCGCGGCGGGGG